AGAAAACCAGAAGTGGCACAGTGGCTCAAGTGGCAGAGGGCTTGCCTTGAGCTGAAGAGCTCAGGGACAGCGCCCAAGCCCAGACTTCAAGCCCCACGACCAACCAACAACAAAAAGAAATGAACAAGGTAAAAAAGGGGCTAGAAATGTGACAGAGTGACTGCCTAGCAAGTGTGAGACCCTGAGTTTAATTTCCAGTACTGACAAAAATAACATAAACGAAGTCACGAATTAACATCACAGTCTAGTAAGCAACATGTGGAAAAAGACTCACACAAAAGTATATAAAAACATGTCCTACACCACTAGTAGTCAGTCAGTGAAAAAGCAAATGACAACCACTATGCACCCACCTCACATTTCTTTTCTTTTTTTTTGTCGGTCATGGGCCTTGAACTCTGGGCCTGGGCACTGTCCCTCAGCTCTTCAGCTCAAAGCTAGCACTCTGCCACTTCAGCCACAGCTCCACTTCCAGTTTTCTAGAGGTTTATTGGAGATAAGAGTCTCTCAGACTTTACTGCCTGGGCTGGCTTTGAACCGTGATCCTCAGATCTCAGCCTCCTGAGTAGCTAGGATTACAGGCGTGAGCCACTGGTGCCCAGTTCCACCTCACATTTCTTAGGATGGCTATTATCAAAAGGACAAGTGATAACAAACCATTGGACCATGTGACCAATAATCCCATAGAGCCAAAGAAGATATAGGACCACAGGAGACAAAACCACCACTTTGTGAAGATACATGAGCTCCTGTGTTCACTAGTGCATTATTCACAACAGTCAGTAGGGAAACAACCTACCTAAGGAGATAAAGAAAATGTACACATGTACACTATTATTATGTAGCCACAAAAAGGGAGATCCTGCCATAACATAGATTGACAACCTGGAAACGTGAAATTTGCCAGGTACTGAAAAATACTGCACGTATCACACAGATACAGACATTTTACACACACACACACACATATGCACACTCAGTAAACAAAAACACAGGTTGGAAACCAGATCAAATACAAATTATTCAAAGAATACAAAGCACACATATGTAGGATGAACAAGTCTAGAGGCTAATAGACAACATGATACTATATTAGGGATTTTTGTTAAATAATCACTAATTCTTGTAAAAAAAAGTGTTTGAGATGACATATGCATTAAACTAAACTACTTGATTACAGTAACCATTTTACTACCTATATGTATCCCATGTTGCAAGCCTCAAACATAATGAAATTTATTTAAACAAAAGGTGTGGGGGGGGGGGATATGTGACTTAGTGGTAGAGTGCTTGCCTAGCATGCATGGAGCCCTGGGTTCAATTTCTCAATACCACATAAACAGAAAAAGCCAGAAGTGGTGCTGTGGCTTAAGTGGTAGAATGCTAACCTTGAGCAAAAGAAGCTCAGGGACTATGCCCAGGCCTGAGTTCAAGCCCCAGGACTGGCAAAAAAAAAAAAAAAAGGAAGGAAAGAGGGAGGGAAGGAAGGAAGGAAGGAAGGAAGGGAGACATTCTGGTATTGAGTATTGTGATTTTGAATACAAAACCTTGGGGTCCCTGTTCATCAACATGCAAAGATCACCACCATGTAATGCACCCCTTTCCCTCTTTGTTCACCTTCTCTACCTTCCAGAAACAACTAGGCTCCACCGTAGGCTTCACCATCCAGTGACTTTCTAATTTGCTCAAAAACCACTTGGTAGAGCTTATAGGGCTATTATTGCTACCAGGAACAACAGTTACTAAATGACTAGTGCTGCCAAAGATGCTCAGAATCACCTTCAGTAAGGTCACACAGCTTACACCTTTCCCTCATCTTTTCCAATAACCAAAAGGAGTGAGTGTTCTTCCAAGAAGAAAAAGAAGGGGATGCAGCCCAGTGGTTGACCACGTCTAAGTACAAGACATTGGGTTCCAACCCCACCTGTCCCCATTCCTAAAGGGCAAAAGTTGGAGTTAAGGATCAGATCTGCAGGGGGGAAAACAGGTAGCAATCAAATGGAATATAGAATGCTGCCAGGACTCAGGGGCTGAAAATAATAACTTTAGGGTCAGGACAGGGATGGCAACTGGAAGCACGGGACAGAAGAGAAAGGAAAAGTTAAGACTCTGGTATAATGGGAGGAGGGGAAGGGAAAGCTATGGACTGGAAAGAACGTGATGGATCAACCCGGTCAAGTCTTATCACAATCTCCAAATTACAAAGGAAGAGGTTGGAATGGAGCTTTGAGTTCTAACGGTGGCGCTCCTAGCAGCTCCAACTAGGCCATGCATGTCCTGGCTGCTGCATTTGGGCAGGGGGACCAGTCAGACCAGGACTTGTCCCCCCAAATACAGGAGCCAGGTAGCACGCGGGCAAACGGGCCAGGGGCTACTTCTTTGGCCGCGCGCATGTGCAGGTGTCAGAGCCCTCTCCACCCAGCACACCTGGCGTTCTCACAAGCGACCCTTTAGCACTCATCGCGGGGCCCATGACCGCAGCCCAACTCCCGCTAGCAACGGTGACAAGTGCTTACGCAGAGACCACCTTCCCGCTCAGGACTTCCGCCGGCGCCATGGCCCTTATTAGTTTGTTTCCCACGATGAACACCACCAAACCCGAGGCTGCACTCTCTTCACTGTGGCGCGGGACAGCCCAACCCACGTGCTTAGCGAGTGCCCCCGGGAACCCAGCTACTGCGCCTGCGCCTCCTGGACGCAGAGGCGCGCGATCCGGAAGGAGCCAGTCCCACATCTAGTTTAGAGGGGCGGGGTGAGGGCGGTGGAAGCCTGGCGGAAGAAAACCAGCGGTGATTGGTTAACTAGAATGATTGGCTGCTGGAAAGAGTCCATGCGAAACGCGGTTTTGCACGGAGCCGGAACCCACCAAAGAGTGTTGACTGACCCGATTCCGTCCAATCAGAGTGTGGGGAGGGGCGGGGGGGGGGAACCGGTGGGGGCGTGGCCTGGAAGGGGAGGGCCCGCGCGAGCAGTTTCGCGGGCTTGCTTTCGCGGGCTTAGAAAGTAGCTGGAGTTGACTGTTCGGACCTTGGTGGTTCTCTGCCGCCAGCGCCGGTCCTGGCTGCTCCGGAGCGCTTGCGTGACCCCCACGCGGGAAGGGGCTTCAGGCTGACTTCAGATGTGCCTTGAAGCACATCTTCCGACCTTCCCTCACTGACTTACTGCCCTTGGGGTCGGGACCCAGCGGGACTCCCACGCGGAGGGCCATCCGCACCGTGACTGCGGTGCTGGGGCTGCTGAGCACCCCCGCCGCTCCTGGGCTGCACACCGGCCTCTCCCAGCGCCTGCTGCCCAGCCCATGGCGGCGCCCAGCGGCCGCGCTAGGCCCGCGGGGCTCCTCGGAGTCGGTCCTGGGCGGTGGGCCCGGGTTGCCGGGCAGCGGGGATCCGGGCTGGGCTTCCGCGGGGCAGCGCCGACACGTGCATCTCTCAGGTGTCCACGCAAGAGCAGACGAGTTGGCAGTTTGCTCGGGTGACTGACGAGAAAGATGCCGAAGGCGCTGAGTTTGCTTTCTCGGCCCCAGGCTGCTTTTTTTTTTTTTTTTTTTTTTACCGCGTTCAGGTTACAGTGCTTCCTATAGATAGGTTTTGTTGTTGTTTTGCCAGTTCTGGGGCTTGAACTCAAGGCCTGGGCACTGTCCCTGAGCTTATGGGGTACTAAGGGCTTCTTGCATGCTAGGTAAGCACTCTACCACTAAGCCACATTGCCAGCCCCTCCTGTAGATCGTTCCAAGAGTCAGTCCCTTCAAACCGCTTAGGACATGGCCAGATTGCTGGATTCCTTTTTGTCTGCCATTTCTTTTTTCTTTTTTTTTTGTCGGCGGTGGGGCTTGAACTCTGGGCTTGGGCGCTGTCCCTCAGCTCTTCAGCTCAAGGCGAGCGCTCTACCGCTTGAGCCACGGCGCCACTTCTGGTTTTCGAGTGGTTTATTGGAGATAAGAGTCTCACGGTCTTTCCTGTCCAAGCTGGCTTTGAACCTTGATCCTCAGATCTCAGCCTCCTGAGTAGCTAGGATTACTGGCGTGAGCCACCTGCGCCCAGCTCTGTCATTTCTTTTTTTGTTTTGTTTTGTTGTTTTTTAGGTCCGGTCGTGGGGCCTAAACTCTGGGCCTGGGCACTGTCCCTCAGCTCTTCAGCTCAAGGCTAGGGCTCTACCACTTGAGCCACAGCATCACTTCTGGATTTTTTCTTTTTGCCTATGTGGTGCTGAGGAATCGAACCCAGGGCCTCAGGCATGCAAGGCAAGCGCTCTACCACTGAGCCACCTCCCCACCTTCCCTGTCTCTTGTCTGTCATTTCTTAAAGTGACCTAAATCACTCTAAGTGACTGCGTTTGTGCTGGAGATCAAACCCAGGACCTCTGGCATACTTAGTCGGGATCCTATCCAGCTGCTCCTATCTCTTACCTGTAATCCTACCTAGCTACATCTCAGGCAGAGATCTGAATACTGGTACAAAAAAGAAAGCATGGGTTTTATCACTCAGCTACACATCCACGCCTTTGCCGTTCTTGAAGTCTGGACAAGTAATATAAGGATCTCTGAACATTACTCATACTGTGTTGAACAAATGAAACTAAGTAGAAAATTGAAGATCTTTTCTGGAAATTGCAGATAGTAAATCTTTTGTAACACATTACCAGAATATTTTTACTATTTCAGTGATTGTATCTTGAGAAAGATGCCTAAACCCATGGGGACATGGCCTGGAAATAGTTTGCCCAACACAATGGTTGGGGTAGGCCCCAAACCTGTGTACCACTTACCTCTAAATCCCTTGCCTTGGGCTAGGAATGTGGTTTAGTGATAGAGTGCTTGCCTACGTGCATGAAGCCCTGAGTTCAATTCCTCAGCACCACATAAACAGAAAAGGCCAAAAATAGTGCTGTGGCTCAAGTGGTAGAGTGCTTCCCTTGAGCAAAAGAAGTTCAGGGACAGTGCCCAGGCCCTGAATTCAAATCCCAGGACTGGCAAAAAAAAAAAAAAAAATCCCTTGCCTTTGCCATTTCGACATTTGCAGCTGGTACTATCTTAAGATTTGTACACTCATTTGTTGTACCATAGAGAACTATTGCTGCCATCAGCTCATTTTGGTGAGGGGAGGTGAAGGAGCAGGGACCTACATGGGGAGAGACAAAGATGAATTAAAGAAATGCAAGCCGGACAGGTGGGTCACACCTATAATCCTAACTACTCAGGAGGGTGAGATCTGAGGATCCTGGTCCAAAGCCAGCCCAGGCAGGAAAATCTGTAAGACTCTTATCTCTGATTAACCACCAGAAAACCAGAAGTGGCACTTTGGCTCGAGTGGTAAAGCACTGAAGAGCTCAGAAACAGTGCACAGGCCCAGAGTTCAAGTCCCACCACTGAAAAAAAAAAAGAAAAGAAAAAGGGCTTGGAAGGTGGCTCAGTGGTAGAGTGCTTGCCTTGCATGCCAGAGGCCCTGGGTTCGATTCCTCAGCACCACATAAGCAAAAAAGAAAAAAAAAACTGGAAGTGGCGCTGTGGCTGAAGTGGTAGAGCGCTAGCCTTGAGCTGAAGAGCTGAGGGACAGTGCCCAGGCCCAGAGTTCAGGCCCCACGACTGG